TTTACCCTCCTCCGTGCCAACCAAATGGCAACGGAGGAGGGTAAACACCAGTCAGGCTTTTATTGGTCCAAAAAGACAAGTGAAACCCAACAAGCTCACTTGCTCAGGTCAGGTGGCCCGTATGCAACTCATTTTCCCTCAACGGGCGTCTAAAAGTGACTCAAAGCATCAAGGCATAGAAGAACCAAAACCAAACGAAGAGAGAGTCCAAAAGCTTTTATCTGTTTATAATTCAATCACATTTCGGAGGGGCAACAAATTGGACTTTTTCACTTACCTGTAAAGTCTATTTCTTGGAGTACAGTCCCCGACCCAGGCAGGTGTTGGACTGGGTCATAGATAGGTACCTTCAGGTAACTGGACACCCCTCCTGCTCATAGCAAGCAAAAATAAGGCAGCAGAGAGGAAGGTGGCCCGTATCCTGTAGTGTATTCTGAGAAATTAATTTTACAGGCAAGTCAAAAATCAAATTTTCGTGACCATACGGTACAGGACACAGACAGATTAAGAGACGAATGGTACTACCAATAAAAGGGAGGAGAAAAAAAAGGTAACACAATCCACCATGAGGTCCCTCAAAACAAACTAAAGAATGGTCCAGACCCCAAATCAAGGAGCAGCCTGAAGCACCCTGCGACAATAAGCTGCATCAGCTGAGGTCTGAACATCCTTCCAGTAAAACGTAGTTAACATGACACAAAGACCAGGTGGTAGCCTTTTAAAGGCAATGGAGAAGCCTGATACCGAAATGCCCAGGTTGTACTGATGGATTTAGTAGAATGAGGCACTACTGGAAGAGAAGGCACCCAAGATTTGGCCAAATATGTCCAAATCACCCAGGGATGGTGGGACAAGGTGCAGGAAGCCCCCTTTGAGATCCCTCCAAAGCACAAAGGGGCAAGCCGACTGTCAAATGGAACCCTTGGCTTTGAGGTAGTCTCTAACACAGTTTTTTTTTTTTCTACGAGGCTTCCATATGTTGCTAGGGGTTCCTTGAGTGATTAATAATGTCTGCTTCTCAAATAGGAACCACTGACACCAAGAATCTTTTTAGCTATCTGTAAGGGGAAATGACCACAAATGTGAGAAGCACTCTTCACAGTGGACACCAATGTAAGGAGCATTCTTCTCAATGACTACCAATATAAGGAGAGATTCTTCCAAGTGACCATTACACCTTTGTACCATAAGCTGTAGATATAGAAATTATTAGCAGGTGTTCCTTGTAACCTTGAAATTATTTTAAGGGTTCCTCCATAGTAATGAGGCATCACTTGAAATTATTTCAAGGGTTCCTCATAGTAATGAGGCATCACTGGAAGGGAAGGCCCCAAAACCTTGGATAAATAGGTGCAACTCGCCCAGCAACGGTGGAAAAAGATGCAGGAAGCCCCCTTTGAGACCTGTTTGGAGCATGAGGTGGCAGTCGGATTGTCTATTGGAAGCTGTGGCTTTGAGTTAGTCTCTAACTCAGCCTTTTTCTACCAGGATTTTGTGGAACCCTAGGGTTCCTCCAGACGTTACTAGGGGTTCCTTGAGCAATGAACAATTTCTGCCTCTAACATAAGAAAACAATGACAATCTTTTTAGCTGAGGTAGACTCTAACACAGCCTCTCTCAACCAGGGTTCCTTCAGAGGTTGCTACGGGTTCCTTGAGCAATGAACAAAGTTTCCTCTCTAAATAAGAAACCACTGACACCAATGATCTTTTTAGCTATCTGTAAGGAGCCTTGTTCCCACTGACCATCAATGTAAGGGGGGATTCTTCCCGATGACCACAAATGTAAGGAATATTCTTCCCAGTGACAATTAAACTTATGTTCCATGAGCTGTAGATATAGTAATCATTAGCAGGGGTTCCTTCTGACCGCAAATTAATTTCAAGGGTTCCTACATATTATTGAGTCACTGGAAGGAAGGCACCCAAAACCTTGGCCAAATATGTCTGAATTACCCAACGATGGTGGAACGAGGTGCAGAAAGCCCACTCTGATATCTCTCTAGAGCACAGAGGCAGTCCGATTGTCAAATGGAAGCCTTGACTTTGAGGTAGTCTCTAACTCGGCCTTATTCAACCAGGGTTCTTCCACAGGTTGAGAGGGGTTCCTCGAGTGATGAACTATAAGAAATCACTGACACCCTTTTAGCAATCTGTAAGGGGGGATTCTTCCCAATGACCACAAATGTTAGGAACATCAGTAATTAACAGGGGCTCCTTGTAACTATAAAATTATTTCAAGGGCATCACTGGAAGGAGAGGCAACCACACTTTGGCCGAATAGGTCCGATTCTCCCAACAATGGTGAAACGAGATGCAGGAAGCCTCCTTTGAGATCTCTCTAGAGCACAAAGAGGATTGTCAAACGGAAGCCTTGGCTTTGAGTTAGTCTCTAACACAGCCTTTTTCAACCAGGATTCTGTGGAACCTTAGGGTTCCTCCAGAATTTTCTAGGGGTTCTTTGAGTGAAGAGCAATTTCTGCCTCTCAAAACGATGACAATCTTTTCAGCTATCTGTAAAGGGGGATTCTTTCCTATGACCACAAATGTTAGGAATAGCTTTCTCAGTGACCATTATGCGAATGTACTATGAGCTGTAGATATAGTAATTATTAGCAGGTGTTCCTTGTGACAGTAAAATTATTTCAAGGGTGTCACTGGAACGTGAGACAACGAAACCTTGGCCTGAATAGGTCTGAATCACCCAGTCATGGTAAGATGAATTAAAACCCCTTTCGAGACCTCTCCAGAGCTCAAAGAGGCAATCAGATTGTCTAACGGAAGCTGTGGCTACGAGGTAGACTCTAACACAGCTTTTCTCAACCAGGGTTTAATGGAACCCTAAGGTTCCTACTGAGGTTGCTAGGGATTCTTGGAGTAATGAGGAACCACAGACACCATTGATCTTTTTAGCCATCAGTAAGGGGGGATTCTTCTCAATGGCCACCAATGTAAGGAGCATTCTTCCTAGTGACCCCCCAATGTAAAGGGGGATTCTTCCCACTGACCACAAATGCAAGCAGTATTCTCCCTACTGACCATTACACTTAAGTACCATGAGTTGTAGCAATAGTAATTATTAGCAGGGGTTCCTAGTAACCATACAATTATTTTATGGCTTCCTCCATGTCAATGAGGCATCACTGGAAGGGGAGACAACCAAACCTTGTTCGAAAAGGTCAGAATCACCTAGCAATGGTGGAATGAGATGCAGGAAGTCCCTACGAGATTCCTCCAGAGCTTAAAGAGGCAATCAGATTGTCTAACGGAAGCTGTGGCTACGAGGTAGACTCTAACACAGCTCTTCTCAACCAGGGTTTAATGGAACCCTAAGGTTCCTACTGAGGTTGCTAGGGGTTCTTCGAGTAATGAGGAACCACAGACACCATTGATCTTTTTAGCTATTAGTAAGGGGGGATTCTTCTCAATGGTCACCAATGTAAGGAGCATTCTTCCTAGTAACCCCCCAATGTAAAGGGGGATTCTTCCCACTGACCACAAATGTATTCTTCCCACTGACCATTACATTTAAGTACCATGAGTTGTAGCAATAGTAATTATTAGCAGGGGTTCCTAGTAACCATACAATTATTTTATGGCTTCCTCCATGTCAATGAGGCATCACTGGAAGGGGAGACAACCAAACCTTGTTCGAAAAAGGTCAGAATTACTAGCAATGGTGGAATGAGATGCAGGAAGCCCCTACGAGATTCCTCCAGAGAGCGAAGAGGAACTCTAATGGAAGCCATGTCTATGAGGTAGACTACATCCAGCGTGAGCGCAATCACATCCAGAGGGTGTTTCGGAGATGGACAAAATCATTATGTCCTTACTGAGGCAAAAAGAAAACATCTCCTTAGGCAGAAGGAAACCTCATCCCTGTGAATAATCAGAAAAGGATCCCTACAAGATGAGATGGCCAACTAGGTCATCCTCCTGGTGACAGAGATGATAGTGACCAGGAGAACCACCTACAGAGGAAGGTTCCCTAATAGGACCAAATGGAGGAGCCCGCAGCGCTGACTCCACAGGGATCAGGTTCCACAGCACCACCAGAGAAAGTTTGAGAGGAACGATGTGAGCAACCTCCTGTACAAAAGGCCTTCACCCAAGAGTAAGATGCCAAAGGCTGTTAAAAAAAGAGAAGCCAAAGCCAATATCTGGCCAGCTATTGATTCAACCACGACTGAAGAAAAGCCAGGATACATCTCATCGAGTACCGGTGGGGACTGGCCTTCCGTGGTTCTTACCAGGCAGAACAAGCCTTCCAGGTGCAGCAATAGACCTTGCCAGAGGTGTAGCTCCTCAAAAAAACGTCATGAATGGAGTAAATACCGCATTATGGTCACTAGATGGAGCTGAGGACCATATTTATTTCTTATAATACTCAGCACCATCTAGTGGCCATAATGCGGTATTTTCTCCATTTGCATTGTTTTCAATGAATGACATTCGATATGTAGAGAATGTAGCCTCAGAACACTCGATTTTGTCGCATGCACATTGAACAAAATCACACGCAGTTTTAATAAACGAACAAGTATGCGCTTTTTCAAAAAATACACTCCTAAGTGGTATTAGTGTTTACATTCTACTTGAACCCCGTTATAACCTCCCAACACATATGTGCGGTGGCAAAAGTCTGGGCTTTATAGTCCACACGCCGTACATATGTGTGTCAAAGACAGCTCTTGGTTTGGGCTAAAGATCGGTAGATGGCAGAACTGACTTCTGATCATGTGACCACTGTTACCGTGGTCATGGGATCGCCGATTCTTACCGCCCCTTTTCTGGACGTTCTGAACGGTTTATAGCAGTGGTCTCCAAACTGTGGGCCAGGGGCCACCCGACCCTGCACTGCCACCGTCTGGTCGTTTATATACAATGGCCAGACGGGAGGTGGTTAAATTTGGCCTCCCGCAGCTAAGAATATTCTTTACGGGTATCTGAATGACTAATGCCGCCGCTCCCCCCCCTGCTCCCCGCCGCAGACAGACTCACCATCCATTCCGAAATAATTACATCCACCTTCTCCACCGGCAAATCAATTTCTTCAATCCGGCCTTTAATCAGCGAGATCGTATCTTCCAACTTATTCATCCTGAAAGAAGAAGAAACAGAGATTTTTCTTTTCTTTTTTTGAAGCTCCACTTTGTCCGGCTGCTATTCACAAAGACGAAAAAAAAAGTCGACTTTGATTGGATCTCATTAATTCGTATTAATCTGACCGGGTTCAATGGAGAGGTTGGCCAGATGGAGATGTTCCTGCCATGGGACGCAGGGACGGGAGATGGGGGTGAAGAGGAAGGACGGACGGTTCTATCATCAACGCGGGAAAGGGGATATTCACACCAAGCGCTTTTTTTTTTTTTTTTGCGCATTACTCAGGCAGCCCATTCATTTCAATGACATTCTGCTTACGTTGTTGGTCAAAAAAAAAAGCTTTCTGCTGTGTTCATTTTTGCACGTTTGCTGCACTTTTTTGCGCGCGACAAAACACGTCTGTTAAGGGAGCCATTAACCACCTCCCATCTGGCCCATGTATATAAACGGCCGGAGAGTGGCAGTGCAGGCAGGGTCGGGTGGTTGTTTATAAACGGCCTCCCCGCACCCTGCTTGTGCGTGCTCTCTGGGAGAGCGCAGCACCGCGATCCAGTGCCCGCTGTGTCCTCCGGACACAGCAGAACACTGATCGTCGTACGGGACCTCTGTGCGAGGTCCTGATCACGTGATTACTGATTGGCCAATCAGTGATCACATGCAGAGTATTAAGCAAGATGTCACTTCTGACATCATTGCTTACTACGTGTGAAATCTGTGAATGATCACAGAGATCACATGGTACAGGGCCATTCACAACAACCTTATACCATGTGACAAGCTGTGACCAATCACAGCTCACACAGTATTTCTCAATGGCTGCAAGAATGCCGCCAGAGAGAAGGAGAAATGATTCTTCCTCCAGCCTTTATGGGTGTAAACGCAATCAGTGCAAAAAAAAAAAAAAAAAAATGTTCATTACCCAGCACAAGTAGTACAGTGTCACCATGGTGATACTGTACTGCTAGGGTGACAGTATGTAAAAAAAAAAAAAAAAACAAAATAAATAATAATAATAAAAAAAAATGCAAAAAAATGTTTAAAAATTATAATTTTCTGTTATAAACTAATTTGGGTTATTTTATGTTTTACTAAAAAGATAACGGAATACATTTTGGCCAAGATTTATGATGAAATATTATTTATTTGCAAAATTTTATAAGAAAAACATTTTTTTTCAAAATTTTTGGACATTTTAATTTACATAGCAAACAAATAAAAATCCCAGCGGTCAATAAATACCATCAAAATAAAGCTTTATCTGTCTCAAAAAAATGCTAAAAAATTCATATGGGTACAGTGTTGCATGACCGCGCAATTGTCATTCAAACTGCGATAGCGCTGAAAGCTGAAAATTTTTGCGCATTACTCCATTGGCCCATTCATTGCAATGACATTCTCCTTATGTTGTTGGTCACAAAAAGCTTTCTTCTGTGTCCATTTTTGAACATTTTCTGCACTTTTTTTTGCGCACGGCAAACCACGCCTGTTTGGGGAGCCATTAATAAACGCAACTCATGTTTTTACCACGTTATGTAAAAAGCACGGAAAAATTTAGCGATTTTGCACACGTTTACAAAAAGATGTTACTGCCATGGGACGGGAGCTGGGGGTGAAGAAGAAGGATGGACGGTTCTATCATCAACACGTGAAAGGCGTGTGCTCGCCGCACTTTTTTTTTTTTTGCGCATTACTCAGACAGCCCGTTCATTTCAATGACATTCTCCATACGTTGTTGGTCACAAAAAAAAGCTTTCTGCTGTGTTATTTTTTCACGTTTGCTGCACTTTTTGCTGTCTGTTTGGGGAGCCCTTAACAAACAAACGCGACGCGTGTAATTACCACGTTTCGTAAACGCAATCAAAACTTTTGCGATTTTGCACACGTTTACAAAAAAAAATGCGAAGGAATGGAGCCTTGAAGGGTTACTAAACCCCCAACAGTACAATCAGTCTGTAGATGCAGTAAAGCATGCTTGTTATACTCACTGTGGAACCTAAGGGGTTAATCCTCTGCATTGTGTAAAAAGGCTGTTTGATCCTGTCTTCTCTGATCCTCCCCTTCTACTGTCCCAAATCCATCTACTGATAGTACAGGGCTCTAGTGGGCACACTGCGCATGCTCAGTTTGGTGTGTATTGCTTCAGATTTTGTTTTTTCTTTTCTTTGGGAGGATGAATGTGATCAGCACAAGACCAATCAGCACTGTCCAGAGGTTCAGAGGTCATGCAGTACTCCTCTCGAGCCCTCAGTCCTGATGCAAGCAGTGGGCTGGTTCTTGGGAGGAGTTATGCAAATATCAAAATGCCTTTTAAAAGGTGGATGTCAGTCTGGGATAGTGGGCGTTCCTAAGCAGGCTGTATTTGGAAAGGTAACAACCACATGTGATGCTGAGCCGCCATGACTGACTGAACAGATCCAATTAATGAAAGGGGCGGGGCAAGGGGCAGTCAGGCTGGGGAGGAGTGGCCATGATCATCTTTAACTAAATGGCAGACTGCGGTTTGGATCCAGGCCTACTGACAGCCCAGGCCGGACCATCAGCCCATCATTCTGCTATGCTGGATCCTCACTAAGCTACAGTCATTGGTTGTTCGGATCCAATGATGTCATGTGTGTCCCGCCCCCTGCAGCATGCTTTTCCTCCCAGTTCCCACCCCTGCTTTTCTCTAATGGACTCTATTGATCTATAGAGAGACTATGATGGGGGAATCTGATGTATGAGGGCACTCTGATGGGGACACCTAATATAAGGGGGTGCTCTAGTGGGGATGCCTGAGGTAAGGGGGTGCTCTAGTGGGGATGCCTGATGTAAGGGGGAGCTCTAGTGGGGACGCCTGAGGTAAGGGGGCTCTTTTATTTTGGCACCTGATATATGAATGCACTATGAAGGGGTAATCTGATATATAGGGACACCCTGATGGGGACACCTGATATGAGGGCACACTGATAGGGGGAACCTTATGTATGGCGAAATCTGATGTAAGGGGTCACTGTAATTTTGGCAGCTTATATATGGGAACACTATGATGGGGGAATCTGATATACGGGGGCACCCTGATAGGGACACCTGATAGACGGGCACACTGATGAGGGAACCTCATTTATGGTGACACCTGATGTATGGGGGCACTCTGATGGGGACACCTGATATATGGGCACACTGATGAAGGAACCTCATGTATGGTGACACCTGATGTATGGGGGCACGCTGATGGAGATACCTGATATAAGGGAGTACTCTGATGGGAGCAACTGAAGAGGTACTATGATGGGGACACCTGATATAAGGGGGTACTCTGATGGGGACACCTGATATAAGGGGGCACTCTGATGAGGATACCTGATATAAGGGGGCACTCTGATGGGAGCAGCTGAACTAAGAGGTACTCTGATGGAGACACCTTATGTATGGGGGCACCCTGATGGGGAAACCTTATTCATGTATGGTAACACCTGATGCATGGGGCATTCTGATGGGGACTCCTTGTGTAAGGTGTTTCTATTTTCTTTTACTTGAAAAGAGAGATTCAGACTTCGGCTGGAAGAAAATTTTAGTGATCAGATATCCCTTAATTTTAATTCATTATCCCTGGACTAGATGATGCTGGACGTCCTCGATCCAGGAAATGAGGTAGAACTCTCTAACTTGCTTCAGCTTCTAATGCACATCGGGAGAAGCTTCCAGTGTGCAGTGAAATCAGAGGAAGCCATTTCAGTCCAGGGGAGGAGCCGGTACACCTGTGCAAGACTGGAGGGGAGGAGCCGGTACACCTGTGCAAGACTGGAGGGGAGGAGCCGGTACACCTGTGCAAGACTGGAGGGGAGGAGCCGGTACACATGTGCAAGACTGAAAGGGAGGAGCCGGTACACCTGTGCAAGACTGGAGGGGAGGAGCCGGTACACCTGTGCAAGACTGGAGGGGAGGAGCCGGTACTCATGTGCAAGACTGAAGGGGAGGAGCAGGTACATCTGTGCAAGACTGAAGGGGAGGAGCCGGAACACCTGTGCAAGACTGAAGGGGAGGAGCCGGTACACCTGTGCAAGACTGAAGGGGAGGAGCCGGTACACTTGTGCAAGACTGAAGGGGAGGAGCCGGTATACCTGGGTAAGACTGAAGGGGAGGAGCAGGTACATTTGTGCAAAACTTAAGGGGAGGAGCCGGTATACCTGGGTAAGACTGAAGGGGAGGAGCCGGTACACCTGTGCAAGACTGAAGGGGAGGAGCCGGTACACATGTGCAAGACTGAAGGGGAGGAGCAGGTACACCTGTGCAAGACTGAAAAGGAGGGGCAGGTACACCTGTGCAAGACTGAAGGGGAGGAGCGGGTACACCTGTGTAAGACTGAAGGGGAGGAGCCGGTACACCTGTGTAAGACTGAAGGGGAGGAGCCGGTACACCTGTGTAAGATTGAAGGGGAGGAGCAGGTACACCTGTGCAAGACTAAAGGGGAGGAGCCGGTACACCTGTGCAAGACTAAAGGGGAGGAGCCGGTACACCTGGGCAAGAATGAAGGGGAGGAGCCGGTACATCTGTGCAAGACTGGAGAGGAGGAGCAGGTACACCTGTGCAAGACTGAAGGGGAGGAGCCAGTATACCTGTGCAAGACTGAAGGGGAGGAGCTGCTACACCTGTGTAAGACTGAAGGGGAGGAGCCGGTACACCTGTGCAAGACTGAAGGGGAGGAGCCGGTACATCTGTGCAAGACTGAAGGGGAGGAGCCGGTACACCTGTGCAAGACTGAAGGGGAGGAGCCGGTACACCTGTGCAAGACTGAAGGGGAGGAGCCGTTACACCTGTGCAAGACTGAAGGGGAGGAGCTGCTACACCTGTGTAAGACTGAAGGGGAGGAGCCGCTACACCTGTGTAAGACTGAAGGGGAGGAGCCGGTACACCTGTGCAAGACTGAAGGGGAGGAGCTGCTACACCTGTGTAAGACTGAAGGGGAGGAGCTGCTACACCTGTGTAAGACTGAAGGGGAGGCTATAATAAGCAGCTCAGGTTTCTGAATTCAGCATCAATCGCACACAATTGTTTTTCTCTTCCCTCTCCTGATAAAAATCATTACACCACATTATGCCGGAACAGCTGCACCGACTCAGCAGAAATCCATTCCTCGCCGTCACTGAAGCTTAACGACGGCGGGGCAAAAAAAAAATAAATGAAAAAAACACAAAAATAAGCAAAAACAACTAAGTGTCACATCCTGTGGAGGAGATGGAATCTTTCACCTTTCCCACTGAAGAGGTTCAATCTCCTCCTGCGCTCTGCCAACATGACAGCCAACATCACCGACCATAATATAATCATTCACAGCCAGTGTGGCGAGAAGCAGCTACTAAGAGGGATTCAGCAGTTTATATTTACTAAAATAGTTACAATTCCATGTTCAGTGTACTGTGGGAGAGCGGATATAGTGAATGCGGGGTCCGGGGAGAGCGGATATAGTGAATGCGGGGTCCGGGGAGAGCGGATATAGTGAATGCGGGATCCGGGGAGAGCGGATATAGTGAATGCGGGGTCCGGGAAGAGCGGATATAGTGAATGCGGGGTCCGGGGAGAGCGGATATAGTGAATGCGGGGTCCGGGGAGAGCGGATATAGTGAATGCGGGGTCCGGGGAGAGCGGATATAGTGAATGCGGGGTCCGGGGAGAGTGGATATAGTGAATGCGGGGTCCGGGGAGACCAGATATAGTGAATGCGGGGTCCGGGGAGAGCGGATATAGTGAATGCGGGGTCCGGGGGGGTAGAGTGGATATAGTGAATGCGGGGTCCGGGGAGAGCGGATATAGTGAATGCGGGGTCCGGGGAGAACGGATATAGTGAATGCAGGGTCCGTGGAGAGCGGATATAGTGAATGCGGGGTCCGGGGAGAGCGGATATAGTGAATGCGGGGTCCGGGGAGACAGATATAGTGAATGCGGGGTCCGGGGAGAGCGGATATAGTGAATGCAGGGTCCGGGGAGAGCGGATATAGTGAATGCGGGGTCCGGGGAGAGCAGATATAGTGAATGCGGGGTCCGGGGAGAGCGGATATAGTGAATGCGGGGTCTGGGGAGAGCGGATATAGTGAATGCGGGGTCCGGGGAGAGCGGATATAGTGAATGCGGGGTCCGGGGAGACCGGATATAGTGAATGCGGGGTCCAGGGAGAGCGGATATAGTGAATGCAGGGTCCGGGGAGAGCGGATATAGTGAATGCGGGGTCCGGTGAGAGCGGATATAGTGAATGCAGGGTCCGGGGAGACCAGATATAGTGAATGCGGGGTCCAGGGAGAGCGGATATAGTGAAAGCGGGGTCCGGGGAGAGCGGATATAGTGAATGCGGGGTCCGGGGAGAGCGGATATAGTGAATGCGGGGTCCGGGGAGAGCGGATATAGTGAATGCGGGGTCCGGGGAGAGCGGATATAGTGAATGCGGGGTCCGGGGAGAGCGGATATAGTAAATGCGGGGTCCGGGGAGAGCGGATATAGTGAATGCGGGGTCCGGGGAGAGCGGATATAGTGAATGCGGGGTCCGGGGAGAGCGGATATAGTGAATGCGGGGTCCGGGGAGAGCGGATATAGTGAATGCGGGGTCCGGGGAGAGCGGATATAGTGATCTGGACCTTAAAAGGCGGAATAAAAAAAAAAATGGAGGAGGCAGCAGATTGGCGCAGAGTCGTTTTCCGAAGTGCGCTCCTATACCGGGCTCAGACGCTGGCGAAGGGGGCGGGGCAGAAGGCTGCGGCCAGCTGAGCTGAAGGCGACGAGCATGACCACGGTCTATTCTGAGTCAGGCTGAGGGTCAGGTGCATCTGCTATGAATCCATCAGCGCGCTCTCGCCTCCCGCCTGGAATCAATACCGCGCTGCCTGTCTGCGTCACCCGGGGACACCTGGCCGACTCCGGCGATGAACCGCGCAACGGCGCAGGAGGATCCGCTGGAGAGGAACTCCCCGGGACACCTGAAACCTCTGCTCAATCCATCAATGTGCTCACTATGGAAAATGACTGGGAGTTACTTTAAACTGAGTCTGTAATATTTCCCATTGTCAGATGAAATTTCAAATCAGGCTGAAAGCTGGAAATGTCTGCATTGGGCCCTGCACTTTCACCCAGCTGGGTGTCACTTGTGTCCGGGCAGATTTACCATCCCCCACCCCCTCTGTAAGCCGATCAGCCCTCAGACTACGAACAATTGAGAGACAGTTGTCACCTTTAAACAGGAAGTGCCTGAACCAGGCCTTTCATGGCAGGATCACCAGAGTTGACAATTGTGGACCATGCCTATGCAATGAGTGTCTTTAACCCTCGGGCACATAAACTTTCATTTAAAATATATTCCTCAACAGCTGTGAAGGATATAAATCCAACCCATGCTCACCAAATGCCTTTGCAAACCCAGATATAACTTTGTAAAAGTAGCACTGACATCATCGATATGCTGTACACAGCCTGTACAGCTGTGGGAGGGGCTCAGCAGGATCTACCCACTACAGGCTGCCTGCAGAAACTACAGGAGGGGGCGGAGACAATACCGGTCACCCTGAACAGAGGGAGAAGAGCTGTGGGAGGGGCCCAGCAGACTCCACCTACTACAGGCAGCCTGCAGAAACTACAGGAGGGGGCGGAGACAAGATCAGTCACCCTGCACAAGGAGGGAGCAGAGCTGTGGGAGGGGCCCAGCAGACTCCACCTACTACAGGCTGCCTGCAGAAACTACAGGAGGGGGCAGAGACAAGATCAGTCACCCTGCACAAGGAGGGAGCAGAGCTGTGGGAGGAGCCAAGCAGGCTCCACCCACAAGCTCCTACTATTTGGCTCCTACTATTTGACCATCGTTGAGATGAAAATCGGTTGTTTTTCACGAATTTTCTAACATGCCCAATCCCCGAAAAGGGGAGGAACCACAAAAATGGGCTGGTGCCATTGACCCACTAACAGAGCGATAATCGATCGGTTAATTTTTGGACGAAAAATCGGTCGATTTTCAACCCATGTATGGCCGGCCTTATGTTGCCAACATTCATAAATAGGAAAGTATATCATAATTACTTGTTTTAAACTTTTTTTTTTACATTTCTTCAGTAACTTCCTGGTTTTCTGCCTAGGCAAAAGATGTCACACATCCCAGGAGTCTTCAGGAGGGTTTTCAGCTCAGCCAATTGCCTGAGCTAAGGGCAGGAGGATACCAGGCAGTAAATGCTACATGAATCATCTGCCCTTACTCAAGTTGGCCAATGCTGGGGGGGGGGGGGGGGGGTTTCAAAGTGATTTCTCAGCAAAATAAAGGATGGAGACATGGATGGATGGATGGGGGAGTTTGCTTTGAATTTGAACAATGAATTATATCGCATTTTTGGTTTGTGGTGCTCAAATGCAGAGCAGTTCCACTTTCAGCCCGGGTTCACATATATGCGGTGCGGTATATCGCATGTGATTCACACAGGAACCGCACCGCATTCAAGTGCGAATCACATGTGATTTGTGGGCGGAGCGATTGGAGTCGTACATTTTATATGGCTCTAATCGCACCGCACCAAAAAGGTGCAGGACCCTTTATCGGCTCCGCACTAGAATCGGATGGCATGGGTAGTCACACCTATGAGATCTGATTCTGCTCATCGCACTGCGTTTTGCGGACCGATTTCGGGTGTGTTTTTAACTTAACATACACACCAGCAGCAATCTGCATGAACGGGGCGGATTCTGATGAGGTGCGGAATTCGCACTGAAAACGCTGCAAATTCCGCATCAGTGTGAACCCGGGCTGAGTGCTAAGAACCATCTGACCAATCACCTACCGGATAATATCCATGGTCTGGTAGATGATTTCGGATTGGTCAACCCCGATCACTTTTTTTGGCGCCGGCTCTCGCGGCGAACATCGACAGGATTCCCGTGCCGCATCCGACATCCAGGACGACCTGCAACATAAAAGTCCAATGAAACCGCCGGATTCGTCTTCTGGAGCCCATTAAGAAAAATGTATAATAAATGGAAATAAAAGGAGATAATTGGGGCCAAAAATTAGTGCTGGACCAAAACCGAAAATTCAGGATGCATTTGGCCAAAATGGACAGGTTTTATTTTTTTTATATTTTATATATATATATAGATTTATATTTCTATCTATCTATCTAAATATATCCAGTTGCAAGAAAAAGTATGTGAACCCCTTGGGATTATGTGGAGTTTTGCATGAATTGGGCATAAAATGTGCTCTGAACGTCATCTAAGTCACAACAATAGAAGAACACAGTCTGCTGAACATAATACTACACACAAACATTAGACGTTGCCATGGTTTAATTGCACATAACATGTAAACATTCACAGTGCAGGGAGGAAAAAGTATGTGGGGCCCTAGCTTAATGACTTCTCCCAGAGCTAATTGGAGCCAGGAGTGAGCCAACCTTGACTCCAATCAGTGTGATGATATTGGATGTGTTGCTGACAGCTGTCCTGCCCTTAAAAAACACACACCTGTTTTGGGTTTACTGGTTTCAAGAAGCACTGTCTGATGTGAACCATGCCTCGCAGAAAAGAGCTCTCAGAAGACCTACGATCAAGAATTGTTGACTTGCATGAAGCTGGAAAGGGTTACAAAAGTATCTCCTTGAGCCTTGATGTTCATGTGTCCACGGTAAGACAGACTGTCTACAAATGGAGAAAGTTTAGCACTGTTGCTACTCTCCCTAGGTGTGGTCATCCCTGTAAAAATGACTGCAAGAGTACAGCGCAGAATGCTGCATGAGGTAAAGAAGAATCCCAGAGTCTCAGCTAAAGACCTACAGAAATCTCTGGCACATGCTAACATTTTTGTTGACACATCTACAATAAGGAAAACATTAAACAAGAATGGAGTACATGGGAGGACACCACGGAGGAAGCCATTGCTGTCCAAAAAGAAGATTGCAGCACATTTGAAGTTTGCAAAAGAGCACCTGGATGTTCCACAGCACTACTGGCAAAATATACTGTGGACAGATGAAACCAAGATTGAGTTGTTTGGGAAGAACACACAACACTATGTGTGGAGAAAAAAAAGGCACAGCACACCAACATCAAAACCTCATCCCCACTGTGAAACATGGCGGAGGGAGCATCATGGTTTGGGGCTGCTTTGCTGCCTCAGGGCCTGGACGGATTGTTGTCATTGATGGGGAAAATGAATTCCAGAGTTTATCAAGACATTTTGCAGGAAAACGTACGACCATCTGTCCGCCAACTGAAGCTGCAGCTCCGCAGAGGATGGGTGATGCAACAGGACAATGACCCAAAGCATACAAGTAATTCAACAGAAATCAATGGCTGCACAGCACAGAATACGCCTTCTGGAGTGGCCCAGTCAGAGTCCTGACCTCAACCCGATTGAAATGCTGTGGCATGACCTTAAGAGAGCGATTCACACCAGACATCCCAAGAATATTGCTACACTGAAACAGTTTTGTGAAGAGGAGTGGTCCAAAATTACTCCAGATCATTGTGCAGGTCTGATCTGCAACTACAGGAAACGTTTGGTTGAGGTTATTGCTGCCAAAGGAGGGTCAACCGGTTATTAAGTCCAAAGGTTCACATACTTTTTCCTCCCTGCAGTGTGAATGTTTACATGTTATGTGCAATTAAACCATGGCAACATCTAATGTTTGTGTAGTATTATGTTCAGCAGACTGTGTTCTTCTATTGTTGTGACTTAGATGACGTTAGAGCACATTTTTATGCCCAATTCATGCAAAACTCCACGTAATCCCAAGGGGTTCACATACTTTTTCTTGCAACTGTATATATAAACAAACAAAAAAAAAACGCCCACCATTTTATTCTCTAGGGCATCTGCTTAAAAAAAAAAAAAAGAAGGTATGTACGTACGTGTATATGTTTCAAATATATAACATTTACATATGCAGTATGTATTAATTAATTTATACAGTATATATATATATATATATATATATATATACACACACACTGTATAAATACAAAAAAATAACATAATAAAAATAAAATTTATATAATACATATATACACACACACACTGTATAAATTTGAAATAAATACAAAAAAAAAACCCCATAATAAAAAAAAAAATTTATATATATATATATATATATATATATATATACACACACACTGTGTAAATTAAACATAAATAAAAAAAAATAATAATAAAAAAAGTATATATATATATAAATTTTTTTAAATTTATGTTTAATTTACACAGTGTGTGTGTATATATATATATATATATATATATATATATAAATTTTATTTTTATTATGTTTTTTTTTTTGCATTTATTTCTAATTTATACAGTGTGCGTGTATATATATATAAAATGTTTGAGGGTTCTAAGTAATTTTCTAGTAAAATCAGGGTTTAAAAAATTATATTAATGACACATTAAAATATATTAAAAAAAAAAAAATGAATGAAAATTTCTAGTGATTACTTTTTTTTTGTTACAAGTGATAAAAAATTTTTGCGTGGGAAAAAAAAAAGTTTTTAGTGATTTAGATCTGCTTGATCTACAATATGCGTTTCATCTCCACCGTGTATTTCTGAGATGATAGTAGATCTCTAAACCCCCCTCCCCCCCCCCCCCGCAGTACCGGGGAGGGACTCGGCTCTGCGTTTTGATGGGAGCTGTGAGTCGGGCTCAGCGATGTAAATAATGCTCACAAGGCCCGTCCGAGGCTTTAGGCCGAGCTCTGGCCGCCAGGACCGGCTGTGCCGTCATCTGCTGCTGTGACACGAAGCCGAAACCGCAGTCACTGTGCTGCAGTCCTCAATTACAGGAGAGCGGGACACTGCGGCATCCTCCACGTGGCGTACAACCGCCGCGGCCTCATTAACCCTTCCTGTACCCGCTCCAGCCTGACACCACAGGGAGAACCAAGGCGTGTTCTGGGCCATTGCGTTGTCATTCCTTTTCCTGTGAATTTTACTGCAGGAAATGCATTTCAGTCTCCAGCAGATTCTCCATATCGATGGCTGCGGTTATGGTGTCGCTGTAAAGTTGCAATTTACTTAAAGGGTAACTCCACTTTCGTGGGGGAAAAAAATAGCAAATAAAAAAATAAATACTACAATGTATACAATTGTGACACAAATGATAATGCAATTGAGTGTTATTAAAAACGACTTTCTTTTTTCAATCTGCAGCCGCTGTCATTTTCTTTAAAATTCAATATGGCCGCCCGGGGGGGGGGGGGGGGGGTCTATAGCACACACACCCCCCCCCCCCCCTCAGAAATGTCATTCCCTGCTTGTGTGATTTTTTCCAGAAGTCTGCACTAAAATGCAAGTCAGATTTTGGGCCTTCCCTGCAAGAAAAATTTAATTTTCCCGAAAGGAAATCATGTCTAAAGGGATGCAGACCCTGCCACTTTCCTCATTGGAGCCCTGCAGGTGCAGCAGCTGATAATTAGAAAACTAAATTATGATATAAAATTAAAAATAAAGATATAAGAGTCAAATTTTGGGCATCCCCTGCAACACAAATGTCATTTCTAAAGGGAAATCACACCTAAAGGGATGCAGACCCTGCCACTTTCCTCACTGGAGCCCTGCGGGTGCAGCGACTGATAATTAGAAAACTAATTAAGATATAAAAATAAGATAAGTCAAATTTTGGTTATCCCTTGCAACAGAAATGTCATTTTTTGATGATAATTAGAACACTGATTAGGATATAAAACTAAAAATAAAGATATAAAACTAAAAATAAAATAAAAGTAAAATTTTGGGCATCTCTTGCAACACGAATGTCATTTTTTTGGTGAGATGCTCCTAAATGGAAATCATGTCTAAAGGGATGCAGACCCTGCCACTTTCCTCAGAGCCCTGAAGGTGCAGCAGCTGATAATTAGAAAACTAATTATGATATAAAACTAAAAATTAAGATATAAAAGTCAAATTTTGGGAATCCCTTGCAATACAAATGTCATTTTTGGTGAGATGCTCCTAAAGGGAAATCACATCTAAAAGGGATGCAGACACTGCCCCTTTCCTCATTGGGGCCCTGCAGGTGCAGCAGCTGATTGACCATTATTAGACCCCTCCCATACAGATTCACTCAGCACAGGGACACAGGGAAACAAACAGCTATTTCCGCTGAATAACTAATGGTAGAAGGGATGCATTGAGATATCAGCGTCCGAAATGCATTTTGCCGATCAGAAAAAAAGGTGCAGACAGCGTCCGACTCCGATCCATTATGCTCCCCAATCCGCAGATCCCATCCATCCTGCGGGGATCGTCGGTTTACTTTACAAATTACCTTTTGCCGGTGTCACCCGGTGTGGGGCGCAGCCCCCGCACCTGCCTCGGGACGCCCCTGGTGCTGACAATAAGAATGCTTGGTTCACCACTGGTCACCATCAGGCCGATCCGGGGCAATGACGTGCAGCCAACGCCAGAGCAAGCGTATGTAGACGGGAAGCGGCTAAAAGATGCCCTTGTAGGAGTACTGAGGCAGGGGGCTGTGATGTTTTCAAGAAGCTATGAACAGGCCCCTCCCACCAGCCATGATCTGCCTGCATTTCTTTAGAGAACCACAGAGACCCAGTGATGACATCACTGTGAATTAAATAAGGTATGTAATTAAAATGGAAAGGATTTTACTTTAACCACTTCCAGCCCAGCCCATGTATATAAACTGCCGGACGGGAGCAGTGCAGGGGTGGGTTGCCGTTCATAAACGGTGCTCGCATTTTCAAGCTGTGTGCGCTCCCTGGGAGAGCATGGAACCATGATCCGGTGCCCCGCTGTACGCCCGGGACCTCTGTGTGAGGTCCCGATCATGTGATCACTGATTGGCCAATCAGTGATCACATGAATAGGTGTAAGCAAGATGTCACTTCCTGACATCATTGCTTACTACGTGTGAAATCTGTGAATGATCACAGAGATCACATGGTACAGGGCTATTCACAACAGCCTTGCACCATGTGACAAGCTGTGACCAATCACAGCTCTCACAGTATTTCTCAGTGGCTGCAAGAATGCATCCAGAGAGGAGAAATGATTGCTTTTACAGCCTTTATGGAATCAGTGTACAAAAAAAAAAATCTTCATCACCCCCCACAAGTAGTACAGTGTCACCATGGTGACACTACTGCTAGGGTGACAGTATGTAAAAAAAACATAAATAATAATATAAAAAAATAAAGAAAATTCCAGACTGGAAGGGGGTGAAAGTGTCCGGACTGGAAGGGGGTGAAAGTGTGCGGACTGGAAGGGGGGGAAAGTGTGCGGACTGGAAGGGGGGGAAAGTGTCCGGACTGGAAGGGGTGAAAGTGTCCGGAATGGAAGGGGGTGAAAGTGTCCGGACTGGAAGGGGGGTGAAAGTGTCCGGACTGGAATGGGGGGAAAGTGTCAGGACTGGAAGGGGGTGAAAGTGTGCGGACTGGAAGGGGACTGGAAGAAAGTGTCCGGAATGGAAGGGGGTGAAAGTGTCCGGACTGGAAGGGGGGGTGAAAGTGTCCGGACTGGAAGGGGGGGAAAGTGTCCGGACTGTCAGGACTGGAAGGGGGTGAAAGTGTGCGGACTGGAAGGGGGTGAAAGTGTCCGGACTGGAAGGGGGGGGAAAGTGTCCGGACTGGAAGGGGGGAAAGTGTCCGGACTGGAAGCGGGTGAAAGTGTCCAGACTGGAAGGGGGTGAAAGTGTCCGGACTGGAAGGGGGGGAAAGTGTCCGGACTGGAAGGGGGGGAAAGTGTCCGGACTGGAAGGGGGTGAAAGTGTCCGGACTGGAAGGGGAGGAAAGCGTCCGGACTGGAAGGGGGGGGAAAGTGTCCGGACTGGAAGGGGGGGGGGAAGTGTCCGGACTGGAAGGGGGGGAAAGTGTGCGGACTGGAAGGGGGGAAAAGTGTCCGGACTGGAAGGGGGGAAAGTGTCCGGACTGGAAGGGGGGGGGAAAGTGTCCGGACTGGAAGGGGGGGAAAGTGTCCGGACTGGAAGGGGGGGAAAGTGTCTGGACTGGAAAGGGGGGAAAGTGTCCGGACTGGAAGGGGGGGAAAGTGTCCGGACTGGAAGGGGGGGAAAATGTCTGGACTGGAAGGGGGGGGAAAATGTCTGGACTGGAAGGGGGGGAAAGTGTCCGGACTGGAAGGGGGGGAAAGTGTCCGGACTGGAAGGGGGGAAAGTGTCTGGACTGGAAGGGGGGGAAAGTGTCTGGACTGGAAGGGGCGGAAAATGTCTGGACTGGAAGTGGTTTAGCATGCTGGGGGGGCAATTTAAAACTCAGCTGCTTTGTGTACGAATTTCTTTTGCTGGAACTTTCCTCCCACATTCTCACACCGTGAGACCTCCATCCCTGACAGCTGGATCCGGGCCCGGCGTACATATTTATACATTAGATATAATAAGATCTGACATTGTTCAGCAGATCCATCAATAGGGAAAATGGTAACATTGTAAAGATCATCTACAGAACCCGCCGCCATCTTCCCGATTCTGCGGCAGATTCGCGGGGGGAATGTTTTATCGTCCTGCTGCAGGGCGCTCCCCTCCTCCGATCCATAAATAAAAAAGAAAAAACCTGGTTTTGGCGTTATCTGCGCTCGTCACTCCACCACATGGGGGGGGGGGGGAATGAAATCCTCCGGAATAAAACTGCTCCTTTTAAATTACCCCGTGTCACCGGCGCTCAGTCATGTGACCCCCTCCCCCCATCCCCGTCATGTCAGATGCTGCACGCCGATGCTCCCACCTTGTCCTTGAAGATGTCCCCATTCCGGTACATGAAGTTCCTATAGCTCTCAGTGCGCACCGCGTCCTATGGAGAAAAAAAAAAAAAATCCAATTACATTGTATAGATGATATCAGAGGGGACGGGAAAGCGATCGTTGGATCATTAAAGCGACGGAAGCGGCAAAATACAAATCAACTGAACGGAAAAGATCGATGAAAACAGCGAATGTACTGAGATCAGAGCAGAACACGAGGCAGGGGACAGTTATAGAGCTGCCTGGCTCGGCGATCTCTGTTGTCGGTCATTTCAGGCTGTAGAAGGCGCAGGCTCTTGAATTGTCACCTCTTTCGGGGGGGAGAATTGTGGCAGATCCCGGCTCTTACATCGAACGATGAGGGGAGGCAGAGATTTCCCAACTGTCCTTGACGGGATCATTCCAGACAAAATTCAGCCCATAGCTAGATGGAGATGAACCTGCACTCCTCTCCCGTAAGAGCCGGGACCAGCCGCCATTCCTGACCAATAATGAAGGCTGACCCACTCTGGTCATTCCCTCTTCTGGACAGAAGGATCGGGGTCTCCTGAAATGGAGAACTCTTCCCAAAAGTAATATTTCAGATATAGGTGGGGACTGGTAACCTTCCTACCACATTGTGTAGAGCTGCCCCCACCATCCGCCTTGGGGTGTTGGGTGCTCCTACCCAGCCTGGAGCTTTGGGGGCTCTCTGCCTACCCTGGAGTGTCGGGGCTTCCTGTCTACCCTGGAGTGTCGGGGGCTACCGCCCAACCTGGAGTGTTGGTGGCTTCCTGCATAACCTGGAATGCTGGGGAGGTTCCCACATAAACTGGGGTGTTGGGTGCTCCTACCTATCCTGGAGTGTCGGGGGCTCCCGCCTATCCTGGAGTGTAAGAGGCTTTCCACCCACCCTGCAGTGTCGGGGGCTTTCTGTTTACCCTGGAGTGTTGAGGGCTCATGTCTACCCAGGAGAGTTGGGGTTCCCGTCCACCCTAGTGTGTCAGGGTGCTCCCGTCTTCCCTGGAGTGTTGGGGCCTCCTACAGAACCTGAGGTATTGGGTGATCCCCCCACCCTGGAGTGTTGGGGATTTCCTGCATATCCTGGAATGTTGGGGAGGCTCCCACATAAGCTGGGGTGTTGGGTGCTCCTACCCAACCTGGAGTGTCGGGAGGCTCCTGCCCACCCTGGAGTGTCGGGGGCTTCCTGTCTACCCTGGAGTGTTGGGGGCTCCTGCAGAACCTGAGGTGTTGGGTGATCCCGTCCTCCTTGGAGTGTCAGGGGCTCCCGCCCGCCCTGGAATGTCGGGGGCTCCCGCCCACCCTGGAATGTCGGGGGCTCCCGCCCAACCTGGAGTGTCGGGGGCTATTTACCCTGGAGTGTTGGGGCTCCTGCATAACCTGGGATTATGGGTGCTCCAATCCTCCATGGAGGCTCCCATTCACCCTGAAGTGTTGGGGATTGATTCCAGCATAACCTGGAATGTTGGGGGCTCCCATCCACCCTGGGGTAATGGGGTCTTCTGCATAACCTGGGAAATTGGGGGCTTCCATCCACCCAGAAGTGTTGGGGGCTCTCACCTACCCTAGGGTGTTGTTGGGGCTCCCATCCACCATGGAGTGTTCGGAGTTCCTGTTCATCCTAGCATCTGGGGTCCATCCATCTATCATGGGGTAAATTATGTGAGTGGAAGCCGGGCAACCAGCATTCTCAGAAGCAAGCCATCAGGGGTCGCCTCCGTATTTCTCTCAGTATGGAATCCTTGACTGCTGAGACAAGCCCAACTTACCTTACGAGGAGACTCTCACTGGCTCATGCAATTTTCAACCGGTGGTCAGTGAAAAGAATGCCCCTTACATTGGTGGTGTCAAGAATGCTCCTTACATTGTTGGTCAGTGGGAAGAATGTCCCTTACATTGTTGGTCAGTGAGAAGAATGTCCCTTACATTGGGGGTCAGTGTCAAGAATGCCCCTTACATTGGTGGTCAGTGGGAAGAATGTCCCTTACATTGGTGGGTCAGTGGAAAGAATGCCCCTTACATTGGGGGTCAGTGGGAAGAATGTCCCTTACATTGGTGATCAGTGGGAAGAATGCCCCTTACATTGGGGGTCAGTGGGAAGAATGTCCCTTACATTGGGGTCAGTGGGAAGAATGTCCCTTACATTGGGGTCAGTGGGAAGAATGTCCCTTACATTGGGGGTCAGTGGGAAGAATGCTCCTTACATTGGTGGTCAGTGGGGGGAATGTTCCTTACATTGGTGATCAGTGGAAAGAATGCCCCTTACATTGCTGGTCAGTGGGAAGAATGCCCCTTACATTGGTGGTCAGTGGGAAGAATGTCCCTTACATTGGTGGTCAGTGGGAAGAATGTCCCTTACATTGGTGGTCAGTGGAAAGAATGCCCCTTACATTGGTGGTCAGTGGGAAGAATGTCCCATTCAGTGGGACATTGGTGGTCAGTGGGAAGAATGTCCCTTACATTGGTGATCAGTGGGAAGAATGCCCCTTACATTGGGGGTCAGTGGGAAGAATGTCCCTTACATTGGGGGTCAGTGGGAAGAATGTCCCTTACATTGGGGGTCAGTGGGAAGAATGCTCCTTACATTGGTGGTCAGTGGGAAGAATGTTCCTTACATTGGTGGTCAGTGGAAAGAATGCCCCTTACATTGGTGGTCAGTGGGAAGAATGTCCCTTACTTTGGGGTCAGTGGGAAGAATGCCCCTTACATTGGTGGTCAGTGGGAAGAATGCCCTTACATTGGTGGTCAGTGGGAAGAATGTCCCTTACATTGGTGGTCAGTGGGAAGAATGCCCCTTACATTGGTGGTCAGTGGGAAGAATGTCCCTTACATTGGTGGTCAGTGGGAAGAATGTCCCTTACATTGGTGGTCAGTGGGAAGAATGTCCCTTACATTGGG